TCAAAAACGTTTCAGAGGTTCAATGAAGAAGAACCAAGTAGAACACAGATTCAAATACAAATAAAACCTCAAATAGATATTGCAATCTGCTCAAGGAACCAACCCCAAGGGTTTTTAGCCTTCCATTAAAACAGAAACACAAACGAAAATACAAACGAAAATGCAGGCAGAGAAAGAAAATGAAAATGCAAGGCAGAGAAGAGAAAGAAAACGGAAATGCAAGGAAGAAACAACAGAAACGAAAATGCAATGTATTCTTCAAATGTAAATATTCAAGTTCCACAACCAGAGAAGAGAATAGAAGAACGAAAATGGCAGCTCAAAGAGAAAAAAATGTAAAAGAAAGCAACAGGGAACCAAAACGTAAAAAAAAACTGTAGCTACATGAAAGAAAAACGTGAAAAACTAAATAAATAAATAAATCATGCATAAATAAGCATTCAACATTTTTGCATCCCAACAAGAAAAGCCAAAAAAGGAAAAACACAAATTCCAATTGACAGCATCTGAACAAAAGATAAAAACATCCCAACCCGGTATATGACAAAGTCGTGAGGAAAAGGTCTAGAGAGATTGTACTCACATCCCAATCCGGTATACGATAAAGCCGTGAGGGAAAGGTCTGGAGAGACTATACTCACCTCCCAATCTGGTATACGACAAAGCCATGAGGGAAAGGCCTGGAGAGACTGTACTCACATCCCAATCTGGCCTACGACAAAGCCGTGAGGGAAAGGTCTGGAGAGACTATACTCAGTTCCCAATCTGGTATACGACAAAGCCGTGAGGGAAAGGGCTGGAGAGACTATACTCACCTCCCAATTCGGTATACGACAAAGCTGTGAGGGAAAGGTCTGGAGAGACTGTACTCACATCTCAATCCGGTATACGACAAATCCGTGAGGGAAAGGTCTGGAGAGACTGTACTCGCATCCCAATTCGGTATACGACAAAGCCGTGAGGGAAAGGTCTGGAGAGACTGTACTCACCTCCCAATTCGGTATACGACAAAGCTGTGAGGGAAAGGTCTGGAGAGACTGTACTCACCTCCCTATTCGGTATATGACAAAATTGTGAGGGAAAAGTCTGGAGAGACTGTAGTCACCTCCCAATCCGGTATACGACAAAGTCGTGAAGGAAGCTGAGCTACGAAAATACTCCCTCTTCAACAAGCTAAAAATAAGAGAACGCACTATTGCAAGAGAAGAAATCAGAGCCATGGCATGGAGCATCTACTCGAAGACTGAAGATCAGATGTATAGTTTGTCACCCTTGTTACCCAATAGAGCACGCAACCCAACACTCAGCTACTCTAAAGGGCGAGGATACAAGCAAATACACCTATCCAAGGGAAGTAACGTAGCAGCGCCAACACAAAGAGATGAAGAGAAGACCCAGATGAAATGTCTACGTCTTTACTTGCCTTTGGAAAAGCAACACATAGCTATTCCAAAGGACAAGTAAAGAGGGGCAGCTGTAGACACCTAATTTCGTTCGGGGGGCATACAAACAAGGAAATGGACATCTATTATCAAGGAAAGAAGCTCCCAAAGCATAGAAGCAACAAGACATGACATCAAAGGGCCTAAAAGTCTAAACAAGCTGGTTTTAGTAGCCTAGAACGGGCCGTTGCAAAACTGGAACGGGTCGTTCCAGGCTCTTAAAAAAGGCTAAAATCCTAGTTTGGAACGGGCCGTTCCTAAACTGGAACGGGTCGTTCCTAAGCCGGAACGGGCCGTTCCAATTTCCTTAAAATGGCCTAACACCTAAAGTTGGAACGGGCCATTCTGAACTATTAAAAAGGC